CACGCAGGCCCGACAACCTATGCTACCTCGTCCGCCCGGTCAGCAGTCACGAGTTCCTCCTCGAGAATAACAAGATAGGGATCGACCACCTTCCCGTCAACAATCTCGTGGTACGGCCCGATCCCATCCACGGCCAGCACGACACCAGGATTGGCGACCTGAACCTGCTCAACAGCACTCTTGAATCCGACCTCAACAGCCTCCAGACAGTCGCTTTCCAACACCCGGATACGGGCAATCAGGTCGGCACGAGTGATTAACCGTCGATCTCCATCTGTCTCGTCCTCGGCCGGACGGACTGCGCTGTCCAAAACTTCCGTGCGAACCTTCAGCGCCTGCACCTCGGCCGTCGCTTTCCCCAACTTCTCCTCCAGCGAAGTCACCTTCCCCTCAGCACCCTCTGCCCGTTTTCGCTGCTCAGCAACATCCTCCTGGCTCTTCTCCAACTCCTCAGTGAGCTTGGCCAATCGCGACTGCATGAAAGTAAGATCCCCCTGCAGTTTGGACAGCTCAGCAGCGGAGCAGCCCTCCTCGTTCAGCACAAGAGTCGTCGTGAACGTCCGCATCATTGCAGCCAAGTCCTCAGCCAGAACACGTCGACGAGTCTCTCGATCGGCCTGACGAACAGCCTTCACCTCCCCAGCGGAGACAGTGGGAGAACGGGCACCATGAAAATAGCCCGGATGCTGATGGCAGGGCGGGACGACATAACCTTCCTCAACGGTACCGACCTTCAGATCTACCACACCTCGGGGCTCCTCGGGGCTCTGCCTCTTCGATGCTCCTTGAGACGCAGGAGATTGACTCTCTTGAGGCGAAGAGGACGAACTTTGCCCCCCCGGCGTCGCGACCTCCTGTCCGACCAGCTGGCTCACCCTCGTCCTCGGGACCGCAGCATTCCTAGTGGCACGCAACTGCTTCACCCGCTCCTCGACGGAAGACATGTTCGCTGCAAAAACAAAAAAAAGAGTTAGCGACGGTCAAAGCCCCGACCACGGGGAGAAAAGCGAACATTCCTACCTAGATAATCCAGAGCGGCCGCCCCGGTCGCACAACCGAGCAGGGTCTTGGTATTAATCAAACGCTTCTTAGTACGCACATTCCCCTGCGCGTCGAGGATATACCGACCGTCGGGCGTCACCAGCTTCGACGGAGGGAGAGACCGCACAAAGGCGACTATTTTCAAGTAGGCGGCCATGTCCTTCTCCTCGAGGGTTCCCGCCCGGACGATATACCTATCCGTTCCTCGGCTGAAATGCTCCGCAGTCCACAGTAGATGTATTTTAGGAAGCCACGCGAGGAATCGCTGGCCATCTACCGTTCGCTCGCCCTCGTCGAAGAGAGTGTTCGAGCCGTGCTGCGTGATCGATTTGACGAGGTAGAACCGGCTTTTGAAATCTTTGACAGAATCGCTATACGCTTTGAAAAGTTTGGTCGATTGCTTAAAAGAAACCCATCCGTGACGACCATTCACCGTCTGCCGCTGTAGGTGGAAGATGCGGAAAAATAATGGTACCGTCGGCTCCACCGAGAGGTAGAAACACACCACCTCGAAAGCCCGGATGAAAGCCAAGGCGTTGGGGTGCAGTTGGGACGGGGCAAGGCGCAACCAGTCAAAAAGCCCCAGATGAAAGGCGGAGAACGGTAACCGGAGCCGAGCTTCTTTAAAGTAGAACTCATGCATCGGGAACATCCGCCGCCCATATCGCGAGCAGATACGATGATGTTCTTTTGGTCGGTACACCTGCCAGTGTTGTGGCTCTCCTATAGGCGTGTCCTCGACCGTGGCATACACGTCGGACGCATTGGCCACAAAACAAGACATGGTAGAAAGCGGCTCCTCGGCCGCCCATTCCTCGGACGGGGCGATGCGCTCATCGTCATACTCCGGAATCTCGGGTTCGTTGTCTTCGACCATTATCTCCGGTACCAGAGCCGACATCTACACCTGAAAAGCAGAGGACAACGGTGAATTCGATAGCCAGGATCAAATCCACCCTTCCACCGCAGGTCAAGTGAAAGGGCGACAAAGGCCGGAAAACGACGAATAAACGCTCGCTCCCCGTCTACCCTCCTCGGGGAATCTAAAGCCGACCCGCCATCCCTCCTCGGGACAGTCACCAGAAAAAGCGCGCCTCCCCGGAGCATCCACCGGAAAAGGCACTCGTCCCCGGGGCATTCATCGAAAAAAGCCCCCGTCCTCGGGACATTCATCGGAACCAGCTAATCCTCCCCTGGACACTCATCAGAAAGTTCGCCAGACACGGCGAGTCTCGCGTCCCTCCTCGGGGCATTCATCATATGCCCCGACCACACGTTCCAATTAAACGACGGAAATAAAAGAGGAGAGAAAAGAGAACTCACTTGTAACGGCGGCGGACGAAGGGAAAGATCAAACGGTGCGGCGGCGATCGACGGCAAGCGGCGGACGAGCAGAAATGACAGAGCTTCGCAGACACAACAGCAGAATGAAAGGTAATAGAATGAGCGGGGACCCCCATATTTATAACCCGACGCGGGATTCGAAGCGACCCTAGGCTCATTAATGACATAGGGTAGCCACCCCTACGACCGCTTAACGCACGACACGTGGCGGCAGCCTGACAGTCGCGCCCCTTCACCTGTTTTCTCCCCGCTCCGCCGACGACCGGAGATCTCCGCACGAGTGCCCGTCCCAGACACAACGACCTTAAGTCCTCGCTCTCTCCCCAGAGCTTCGACTTGGGGGGCTCCTGTTCCGGTATGGGCCCGACCTCGGCAGGCCCAATACCACGTACGGCCCAACAGGCGAATCGGGCACGTCGGGCACGTGCGTCCCTCGAGACGAGCAGAGCATGCCGCCGGACACAAGCAGCGCATCCAACAGCATTTCATCATCCATCGTACCAGACGAGCAGAACCCTCCCCGGCACACCAAAGCGCGGTCGTGGTTCCTCCCCTCCGCGGGGAGAACAACGCGCTCCGGGGTATCTCGCGAGCTCCCCTCCGCGGGGAGAACAACGTGCCCGGTGCACGTTCTCCACGTGCTCCCCTCCGCGGGGACACGTCATCAACCAACTGCCCACCTCCGAAAGAGCAGGTCAAACCCACTTTCCTGAGATCTAGGAGCAGTTGGACTAGGGCGAAGACCACGTCCTGGTCTTCACTACGCCACGTAAGCCCTAGCAGTCATTAGGGTTGGGCCTGGTCATCCAGTCCAGCTCAAATGACCGTTGGCCCAGCGCTGGGGTCTCTCTATAAATACCCTCTTCCTCAAGAGGGTCAGGTAACTTTCTTCTTACCCCTTTCTGTACTTTTGCTTCCACTCTGTCCAATTTCTTACTTTGGCATCAGAGTGTCTTGCAGGTACACCCCTCTCCTCCTTCTCATCACCGGTGAACAGGTACCGTCCAACGGCGGGTGGCCATATCGTGATCCCTCCTGATCAGGTCAGATCAGATACCCTAATTGTGATTTTGACAATTTCACAATTTTAGATAAGTTAACAATTATGAGATATATGAATTTAAAGACATCACAATTTAACAATTATGATATATGAATTAAAGAAAACATAGTATATTTAAAAGAAATAAATTAGATATCATTAAACTATTTATTTTATAAATAAAAGAAATTAAAATATCATAAAATTTTAAAATAAACGTGAATATTGATATATCATATGGACCGAAATTTCAAATATTCATAGAAACAAAAAGTTTCATAAAACAAATTCATAAATTCATGGAGATGTATGAGGAAGTGAAGGTGATTTATTATATAGGAAAGCGATTATTGTGCAGATACACTAGCAAAAGTGGAGTGAGAGTTGTTAATACTAAGGAATGGTTTTCCTAAAAATGCTCCAGCTTTTATCAAGTCATTTGACAGATATGAACTGATTTTTCTAGAAGATGCTCTGACTTTTATCAAGCCATTGATAGATAGGGACGCTATGGAGTTTGAAGTTGTTCCGACTTTTATCAAGTCATTGATAGATAGTAACTGGTTTTTCCTGGATTGGCTTTGAAGTTTTTTTTTCCTTCTTTTGGCTTAAGCCCTCTTCCTCACCCAAAAAAGTATCATAATGTATGACACGTCTCAATAAACATATTGTGCATCACCTAAAGTACATTTTCAAAAAACATGTTTTTAAGAAATGTGGTGATGAAAGGTAACCCCTAAGAATCAAGTGCTTAAAAGCCTGGTTTGGGAGAAAAAATTATAGACGTAAAAAATTGATTAATGAGTTCAATCTCTACTCCCAACATAATATTTACAATTATAAAGCGCTCTTGAACCAAACAGCAAAGGATTGTAATGTGCTTTGGACTAGTGACTTAAGCACTCACTATACAGGACAGCCATTTCGAATGTAAGCACTTGCTGATCTTTTGGGCGGGAACGACAATGTTATAGGACCCGGACAGCATGAAGAATCACCTCAGGCTCAATGCCAACTCCAATCCAGCCAAAAGAAAGAACAATAAATGTGTCTAGCAGATTCATTCTTCACAATAAGGTCATCTAACTTAAAAAATACTATAAATAATTTACAAAAAAAAACTTAACATCCCACTCAGAGTATGAACACAATTTTTTTGCTTACATATTTTATCAGTTTTTTATTACTGGGTCAAAACATAAAATTAAACCAATCAAGAAAAATATAAAATCTAGATACATCTAAGTGAACTGTTTTATTCAAATATAACTGACACGTAACCAACTTCATTCTGCGTCTCAAGCTGCATAGTACGTCACATTTTCATATTCTGTGTGTAGACTATAATATAATCAATCAACTATCAACAAAAACGCCAACCAGCTTCAATTCTTCTAATGGTCTTTGACATTAGAAGAGACTGAGAATTGTTACCGTTTCAAGAGAGATTTACTCTTCTGCAAGCAGTGACAACCCTCAGCAGAAGTGACTAGCACTTGATGTGGATCATAATATGTTCGGGTTGAAACCACACATCTATAAACAGATTGTACCCCCAAAATTTGAACAGCGCTCAAACAATTTGTTCGTTCCCAGAAACGTCATTCTCAGCATCATTTGTCAAGGATAGCAGTTCTGTCAAGTCCATTCGGTACTCGAGACCTCTAAGATAGTGTCCCAACAGCATGCACCTACAGGAGGAAAACAGTGAGAAAAAGTTAGTTTATTCCAGAAATGAGCACCGCACTCGTACATAGCCTTAAACATTCCAAATCATCTTTCAAGTATCATAAATAGTTAATTGTTTTTATCATTTTTCACCATGATTAAATGTTAACTGCTCGCACTTGCATAATAAACAAATAAATACATAAATGGAAGAAAAAAAATATAAGCAATGGCAAAAAAATACTAACCAAAAGAGCAGGCGGGCAAGATAGTCCCGAGTTAATGTAATAAATGGCTGAAATTGAAGTGAAGAATTCTCAACAACCTCGGCACAATCCTCACTCCCATCATTTGCTGTTCCAACTGTTGCATTCTCTGACGTAGTTGAAGGTTTTGAATGCATTTTAGGAGAAAGGGTAGCCAGAAGACCATGGACAACAGATAGAATGATATCCCTAAGCTCAGGGGATGTAAATTCTGACAGCTGCGCTACCTGTTCATTAGCCAAATACACACCCAAATAAAACACTGATATAAATTGAAAATAAGATATAATGATATAAAATAGGCCTACACAAAGCTAATAATGTCACAGTTAACATTTAGTAATACAAAAGAATGTGTTTTTTTAATGTTTGAATGAATATTTGGAGTTTTGAGATCTTTGGAATTTTCATCCTAATGATGGAAATTGGAAAAGGAAACAAGTTATAAGGATTAAACAGCTTTAACAAATCATATGAATAAGTTATTTTGAAATAAAGAAATGCAACAGCAATTACAAATTGACATTCTTGATATTGTTTTCAAGTAATGCATGAAGGCAAATATGGGATAAAAACCAATGCCAGATATCTTTCAAAAAAAGATAGAATTGCATCACGGTAACGCACGGAAATTATACAGCATGTACACAAAAAGACATGGCTCAAAATGAAAACACAAATAAAGAATTTTCACAAAAGGCCAAACCTGTTCAGGTTGAAGCGATCTCAAGTAGTCCAGTAAATCATTCTTTTCTTCTCCAACAAACTGTTGCATTTGAAGAGCGGCACTTTTCCTCTTCACTTCTCGTAGCTCCTTGAGAAATTTTCCAAAAAAACAAGAAAATAAATAAAAATGAGAAAACAAGTTTGTTGTAATGCGAGCCTGGTTGCAATTGAGATGTGTGGCAATCAATAACTAACAGCTTCCAATGCAAAATAAAATCCAGACAGTTTCAACAAAACAGGATTCAATGCATAAAATCCATCAAATGTCAAGTAAGGTTCTTCAATTCTACAGCATACCTTTTTCATGGAAGACAAGCGAGACTGCAGACTGGAAATAAATTCTTGAGCTTCGGCAGATAATTTGCCAAGGTCTTCAATATCGACATCCTCGTGAGACTTTTCAACCTTGGAAGACAAACTATTCTTTCTGCCAAAGTCAATATTTACACTGTCACGTAGGAAGTCTTGTAAGTCAAACTTCGTACTTTCTGCCTTTGGCTTCTCGAGATCTCTTTCGCATGTGTCTAGAGTTTTCTCCAGACAGAGCCTATATTCAGCATTACGCAGTGTATACCTGGAAATACATGAAGAAAGCTTCTCATATTCCGCCCGTTTGGATAAACATTCTACTTGGCAATTGATAGAAAAAGTAGACTTAGCATTTTCTGTTATAACTAGAATCAGTGTTGTTAAATATCAGATCGCGGAAATAGCGGACCACCAAATAACCGATATGAGAAATATCAGATAGCATTGCTGGTAAGTAGCTGAAGCCGTAACACGGTTAAAATAAATAATTATATATACACAAATAAAAGCTACATAAAGAAATAACAATAAAAAATTGAATTGAAAATCTCAAGTTCAAAACAATTAAACAATGCCGCAGAAAACTAACAAGAAACTAAAAATGAGTTAAAACTCAAAAGTTAAGTAGTTAAAACTTTAAAATAACTAATAATTAGTAGTTCTTCCAAGTCTAACTAGTAATAAAACATGAAGGAAGTGCAGCAAAGTGAAGTAGAAGACCGAACGAACACAAAGTGAAGATGATGGAGCACAGGATTATGAGAGTTCTATTTTTATATGGGTCCACAACTTATTATAAAAAACATAATAGCAATAATATTGGTCCACCGCTATAAAATGTCTCCAACATTAACCAATTCTGATATCAATACATAGCGACTATACCAGTATATACAGGAAAAACGTCGCTATTATACCGGATATTTAACAACACTAACTAGAATTTCATTATGGAATACCAGATTTCGTATCAGATAGCCAAAATTCCGATACGCAATACCAGTATACCATTATACCAGATATTTAACAACACTGACTAGAATTTCATTATGGAAAAGTTAGTTACAAATATGTGTCTGGTTTGCATATATAGGTGCAAAGCAGTTCACCTGCAATGACCTACTGTAGCCGGTTTCTTCCTTACAAGACAACTAGCTCTAGTAGTTGTTATTAGTTAGGTAGCCTATAGAATATCTCTAATAGCAATTCATGATAAAATTAGCATTTTTCAGAAACTTCAAAATTCTGGGACATTTATCATGTATCAACATTTATTCTCACAAACTAAATAGTTATGAGTAAGTAACATACTCTCCCTTCTCCAAATGGATTATAAATTTATTTATTTAAATAACTCTGAGTAGAGAAAAACTAAGTAAATCACCAAACCCGTCACGGACTTTGCAAGGCTCTTCCAATTCCCAAACAGGCCCCCGGCAGTGTTGTCGATGGCAAAGAGCCAAAATCCCACCATACCGACCGCTTTGCGGTGCCATTATAGTGGATTATGGCGGAAAACCCCGTAATATCGGCCGATATTTACCATTGCGGCGAGTCCAAAAACCGCCATGTATCTGCCATAGCGACCATGGTGCCGCTATTTGATAATACTGGTTCCCGGGATTATGAGTATTTAAAAAAAAATCTCTGACTCAGTCAAATTTTACACATATTATTCCTTTCGAGAGCCAGAAGGACCAAATCCAATAGTAAGTTAGGAACTAAATTGATAGTAGGTGACTAAGGGCATGTTTGGATAAACAACTTATTTGCAGCTTATAACACAAGTGCTTATCAAAATAAGCTCGCATAAGTTGCTTTTATAACAAAAGATAAAATTCATTTAAATTGTTTTGTTAAACCAACTATCTTGAAGAATTTATAAAAATAAGTTCAAAAGAATATATAAGAAACGTTGTAAGCTATTTTGAGAAAATCTCTCAAATAGTGTTACAAAACTTATGACAGTAGATAAGCTCAAATAAGCCAATCCAAACATGCCCTAAATATGAGGGACCTAATGGATATAAAGTGGCTAAATATGAGGACCAACTCGACAGTTTAGTAGAGTCAGTGACCTTTATTCATAAACTCGTGGACCTATAGAGCTAGAGCTTGAGTCAGAGACTAATTTCGCGGTTTATTCCAAAAACTAACTACCATCATGAAAAGAACATATATACCCCTTCATCATATGTATAAGCAAAATAAGAATCCTATGAATTCCCCAAAAAGAAACATTACAAAATTAACAATTAAACATAGTGATAGAAAGTAAAGTACTAACCCAGTCATCATAGAAGAAATCAACAACTTGGAAAGAGGTTCCCACAAAGCCTCAACAACTACATTAAACTGATCAGACGGAAGCAATCCCAGCATACCAGAAATAGTTCTTTTCATAGCATCAGCAGTAGTCGGCGGCACATCTTTCTGAATACAACTCACATCAAGCGGTTCAATTTCGTGGATCAATTCAGAAAGAGCCGATTTCTACAAACAACAACAGCAACTCAATTATCAAAATCAAACTTCAATTGAAATACACAAACCAATTAGGGTTTATAATTACCTTGGAGGTGAAGTCGTCATGTGATGAAGAAGCGAGAACGAGAAAGCGGGAACGAGGTTTCGTGGAGAAACGGAGAGGAGAGAAAGAGAGGGAGAGAGAGGGACGGAGGCGGTGGAGAGAAAGAGAGGGATAGAGGGAGAGGATGGAGGGAAGGGTTGCCATGTCGAGTTGAGAGTCGACGATGAACCAACCGCAAAACCCTCACCACTCTCTTTTCTCTTTCTGTTTTCAGTGCCGTTTGTAGTTGCGGCCACAATTATAAAACTGTGAGCGTGTGGGTGATATGAATGTGAAACGCACGGTGGATATGTCGTTCGGGACGATTTGGTATCTGTGTATCTATCTACATGACAGCCAAGTTAGCCAACAAGATTTTAACTAAATTGTTTTTTCCTAACCGCTTAGTTTTTCAAGAAACAAAATCTGAATTACACATAAAAGTATATATTTAGCTTAATCTTTTATACAAATACATCAAGATGTTTAAGTTTATACTATAGAGTTTTATATATTCATGCTAAAGATTGTTGTTTACCATTAAATGTCATCCATCGGTTCCTAGTCGTTAAAATGATAAAGAATGTTTGTAACCACTATTATATATAAGACATCCTATATGAGATTCAGCGTATCTTCTCTCTAATCATAACTCATTTTACTCCTTATTTTTTTACAATTTTAAGCGTTTGAGTGTTAATCTTACAGATCTATCATCCGTGTTGTCGCTCTAGAGATCTAATCCACTACATAAAGACCATACGTCATCATTTCACTAAGTATTTTTGGTTCCTTAGGTGAATAGTGGTACAATATGAATGAATCGATTTTTGATTCCTATAAAATTCCACAATCAAATTTCTTCTAATCTAAAGTCACGAATCATAACAACTATTATACTCCAACGAAGAAGATGACTTGTGATTCAATCAAAGAAAACCTCATAGCTCCTTCAGCATCCAGATCATAGCTCACCTTCGTCGTTGATTATGTTGATATCAGATCTTTTGGAAGAGAAAAGTGTTCGACCACGAAGCTCATTCAAATCATCGACAACAGTTCAAAGGCAAAGGGAGTACATGTTTATCTTAGAGTTTCGAGACCACGAGAAGGTAAATAAAACTCATATTGTGACACTTCCACTAATTGGAATTGTTGTCATAGTTAACCATTTAGTATCAAGCATCCTCATCGATGATGGAAGCTCATACGACTTAATGTATCGGATAGTTTTCACAATAATAGGATTGTGCATGAAAGATTTGAAACTGCGTTTAGGCTAGAACCTTCTAGCATTATGTGATTCCTCAATTCGTCCATGTGGAATCATAGATTTATCGCTCGGTTGGAGTACGCAAAAACAAAATAACCATGAAAGTATTCTTTTACGATCCATTTGAAGATGAAATATCACAATAATTTGGGTAAGTACGTCGTTTTTGGATACATTTTACGTGGAGCTCACCTTATACACAATACCGTATTGAGAGGACAAAAAAAACCTTTGTGAATTATAAATGGGTAACCCACTCCCTATATTTTCTTAATCATGTGGTTGAAGGTTCGATTCTTATATATGACGTCAACAAACGGATAAGACCAATAAAGCTCGTAAATATGAGGTTTGAGTTAGATTTGAAGGTGATATCTAGAATCCATTGATATCTCTAAGCTTTTTTCTCACGTGTGGGGAAAAGATGGTAGTACCTGCAAACACTCTAACTTCTAAGCCATTGACCGTCAATAGTGAGATGTATTTTTAGGGTTATAATGTGTTTGCATGACGTGATATTTTACTTGTACTTCTATTGAAAAGTCATTAAATGTTGAGAACCTAGAATATTCTATGTGAGATATGTGTATAATATGGGACAATTGTCGAAAGATTATTCGTTTTGTGATATGGTCATCGTGCTTTAAACACATACTTTAATCATAAGCCATTATAGGGCATTTCCTATCACTAGCTATGTGTTTCTAAACCGTTCATGTGGACCTTATCTAGAAGTATGGTGTCTTAAACCTAACATAATTATTCGTTGTTTAATTTGACAATCCATTTCCCTAATCCATTTCCCTTTTAGGGGCTTAGGATTTTAAAGAACTTTTGTATTAGGTTAGTCATGACTTTTGGACCTTGTGGCTAGATTGAACATGTATACTTTCATATATAAAATCAATTCAAACAATACTACATTATGATTGCTCATGGTCATGTTATGGTTAAGGATTTTGGTAATGTTAATGTTCACTTTAACCTTGACAAAGACAACTTTTTTAAAGAAATAAAAAACATTACTACAAAAAATGTTTGTTATCTCGGACGCGAAATGCATAACACATCGGCTATGAAAGGGAGGTAATGGAGGACGACATAATAACTCGCAACTTATCACCTCAGTGTTATCAAAATCGAGAGGCAAAGTTAAATGCACACGAGTTTGAACCCCAACAACAACATTTTTATTATTTTTAAAACTAGCGTATATTTCATCTCGGTTTATCTTGAAAACCGAGGGGTTAGATCATTTATTTTTTCTTTTAAATTGTTGCATTATTTACATAGAATATTATCCAAAATATTACATTGTTTATCCAAAATATTACATTGTTTATAATAAAAGTCAAATTCCCTAGAGAACAATGTAAAAATCAAATTTTCTAAAGAATTAGACTTTAGATCTTCGAATTATTGAATGTTGGGAAAGATCAAATGTTGGATGCAAGGTTTGTCTATTCGGATCTTGCATGCATTTGATTCTGAAGCAAAACAAAGTAAGGGTTAGATAAATAAAATCAATATTCAAATATATGATTTTGTGCTCAAATTAAATATTTAAGAAAACAAACCTTAAAGCCAAATAATTTTCTGCTCTTGCAATCCATCTTAGAGAAATTTTCCAAACGTCTTTATATTTCAAGCACTTCATGTTTCATTTAGGTTAGATTTTCAATATTCAACATGCTTTTCATAACAAATGTTCCTTAGATTTCACACAGATCACTAATGGTAGATTCTTGAGCGTTGATAAATATTAAATGGACGACAAATATTTGTTTAACGATGAATAGTAAAAAAAATGTTTAACTATCCCCTCGGGCAAGAAGAAAACCAAGGTGGATAAGCTGATTTTTTTTAATTACATTTTTTATACAGAACAATAAAAAGACATTGTAAAATTTGTAGTAGAAACTCATGATAGAAATGGACGGTGGTGAATATTTTCTCTCTTTGGGGTGGCTTCATATGATTTAGTATTAGGGTAAAATTTGTTTAAAGGGTGTTTTAAAAGTAAAATATGCCTACTAACCACCTCGATTTTATAAAAATGAGGTTTTATATTGATTATCACCTCAATGATAAAGAAAGTGAGTGAATATTTCATTTTTTTAAAACATTATTTACACAGAATATTAAAAAACATTGCTTACAACAAATCTTCAGCGATATCCGAATTTTGTTGCACACCCACTAAAATAATATATTTTTTAAAAACGAAAATGACTTTCTTCACTTGCAATCTATCAACTGAGTACTTTTCAAAGGTTGAGTTAGTTCCCTTCTTTGTTGGTTAACCTTCATTTTTTGTTTAACTTAAAGCAATAATGATTTTCTGAACATGGAATCTATCAACTGAGCACTTTTCAAAGGTTGAGCTCACTTAATTGTTGGCCAAACTCATTTCTTTGGGTAACCTAAAGCAAGAATTTTTTTTCTGCACTTGCAATCTATCAACTAAGTACTCTTTTTTAACTGATGATTGTTCCAAAAAATACAACAACGACAACATCAACACTATTATGTGAGATTGATTGCAGGGGTGGAAAAAATGTTTTGTTCAAGATAGAAGAACATTTAAGATTTTTTATGTCTTGCAATCCATCCCAAAGAATGATGCTTGCGAGTTTTAGGCGACTTCATATAAGTAAGAATTTGGGTAAAATCTGTTTAACGAGTGTTTTTATAGTAAAATCTTATTATTTTATACATCGGTTAAATAGAAAATCAATGAGTAATAATATTTTGTTTACACTTATAAACAAATAAAACCATAAACTACGACAGTTGAGAATCGAAGTTTGTACTGAGTTATTTTTTCACCTCGGTTATTTTAAAAACCGAGGGAATTAATGTTTTTTTTAAACAACAAAAAATAGAGCGTCTTGTCTTTATACCTCAGTTTTCTATTGTTCGAGGTAAAAGTTTCGTTATGGAAAACGTTATTTGTTGTAGTGAAATGTCAAAATCCTTCATCACTCTTAATTTAGATTCAAATTTCCTTCTTATCTGTAATACCCCAAATTTTACCCTTAGATTAGTCGATCCATGTCGCATTACACTATCAGCTAACCACTAACGGGTTACGTAGTCTGTTGTTTTTACAGGAGAACCACATCAAGCGCACTTTAACCGTTGAAGGGCGAAATAGTCATTTATTCATTGTTTGCTGACAGTTTAGGGAGCAGGGTCATCGTCAGAAATCCCTCAAATAATTAAGATCTCCATTTACGAGTTCCTTATTTCATTTAAGGAAGAACGAAAATTTGACGTCAGAATCTTCGAGACACAGTAATTTATTCAAAGGCCGAGACTTTGTCGTCAGGGGATCTCTGAGATGTTGTTTTATCATATAGGACTGATTGTGTTGAGATGTTAGTGGTGTGGTTCAAAGCAGTGCGAGAATTCACTTTGTGGAATTTATTTTAACAGACACTCATTTTTCTGCTTCTTCTGCTATCTGCCAGTCAATTCTTAAAGGGAAAGCGGTGGAAAGTTCAATTCGTGTGTGGATTTGTTAATCTGTTTAATCGTGTTTTTTGGCCGAGTCGGTTCAGGACATTGGATTTAGTTGGCAGAGACACAATTGAATTTTTAGTGCGGAGTTTAGTTATGTTTATTGTTAATCGGATTTCTCTGTTTTTTGCTGTTTTACTTCGTTCAAGGCCGGTACTGCTTCTATCACCAGGCACAACTTAAAAGGGGAAATATTTGACTGGATTTGAATGTTAGTTTTGGGTGAAGCCGCACTTGCTGGGATGACATGGTTGATTCGGATATTCATTTTGGGATTTATTTGTATTGAATTTACATGGTGAATTTAGTCCGCTTGTTTAAAGTTTAATCGGTTAATGTTAATCGGTTGAGTTTATTCAGAGGTAATCAA